CATGGAATCCATTGGACATCCTTGGAAATTCCTTCTGGTTAAAATAAAGAGATAGAACCATCCTGAGTGTTTTTGAGGTGCTGGGGCTGGGACTTAGGCCAAGGGCAGTGATAGTAAGACGTCTTCCCTGTGCTGACTTTCTCTCTTTCTTCATGAATATTTCAATCCTGGAGAGACCCCTTAAGGTGATCAGTTGAGTTAAATGAAAGTAGAGATGAGAAGAAAAGAGAAAGAGCAGCCCCATTGCTTTTTCTTGTGATGGGGACTATGGAAGGAGATATTAGGAGCTGATTTGTTTGTTAACCTGAGTTCTGTTTTTCCTTTCTTTTCTTTTGTAAAGCCAGGCTGGCCAGGACCTCCACCTTGTGCCCCACTGGCTACCTCCCATAGACACTACTCAGTTGCCAGTGTCCACTCACCCCCCCAGCTCCCCACTCCAGCAACAGCTCGGGGCCCAGCCACGGACATGGATTTCTTCCTCTTCTGGGTTGCCACAGCCTCCTCGTCCACTCCTGACTTCAAAAGATCTTTTGCTTCATTTCCTTGTCTCCCTCCTTCAGGGGGAACTGGTCAGAGACTATTCCTTGATCTCTACCCTAAATCAAGATTCTTGGGCCAAGAATAGAAAATCGTGTTCCAACTCTGTAGTTCTCAGAGAGGCCCTAGTTTGTCTGGGGGCTGTGCTTCAGAAGGGTCCAGGTGTATCAATTATGCTGCCCATGCCTGTATGCCGCCTCTTCAATCACTTGTGTCCTCTTGCTTGTGAAGCGCAACAGAGTGCGCTTTCAGAAGGAGTCTTTTGTATTCCTAGAGTCTAAAAATATTTGCATGTAAATGTTGGGAATCCAGTCTCCTTAAGGTCTACACTTTGCATGGGGAGGCATACAGACCCATGGGGTGCATTTGAAAATTAAATTTACACCATTGCACCTTGGGCCCCTGCCCCTCAGCGTTGCAGTGCCATCTGAGGAGGGGAGAATGTGACATTGATCAAGGCAAAGCATAAATAACCACATTTCAAAATGAATACTAATTGCATAATGACAGTTTCCAAACTATTAGCCTACTTTACAAAAAAAGTTAATTCAACACAAGCCCAGAGCTGGCTGTTGCTTATGTGTTGTGCTGCCAGTTGGCAGGCACAGCTTTGCAAGGGGATTGGGGGAAACGAGGGTTATTGTAGTGGAAGCACACTCGGCCTTTTGTGAGGAGGGTACAAACTGCATCACTCTCTCAAACCCCTGCTGTTCAGCGTTCAAGAGTGGACACCAGGATACTGCGTGCCTTCAGGGGAAGTTGCTTACTTTTCCTAGAGGTAAAATGGCCCAGTGCCGGGGCTTGGGGAGGAGCCTTGAGTTTGTAGCCCCTTGAAGCAAAGCGTTCTGGGCAGATGGAGGTGATAAGCACTGAGGAGCTGAACCTGGGCTGCTGTGCGCTGCCCGTAGCTGGGAAATCCTGGGCCTAGGGGAGGGCATGGACACACAGAGGCTGGCCGTCTCTGGGATGAACTATGCATGCTGCCTCGGGCAGGCCACTCCACTGCTCTGGGCCTGTGTCCCGTCATCTGGAAAGTGAAGGGAGTGGACTGGATGACTGTGAAAGCCCCTTCCAGTTCAGAGAGAATACCATGATCCCTTCCTCTAAGCTGAGCGTCCTCCAGAAAAAGAAAGGCACTTTGCTTGGGAGAGCGGCATAACATGATGGGACTAGTTCTCTGTCGTCGCCATCCTTTTACTGCAGGACTTAGGAAGGTTTGTCTCAATTGCCAAATTAACGTGATTTTGTGTGAAAATACCTCGAAGGAAAATGAAAAAGTGCCTGCTAAGAAGCGGAGCTGTCTGACACAAGGGTTCATTCTTTTCAGGAGAGCCTATTGTCTTGACTAATTGGAAGGAAGCATTAGGAAAGCCTCCGATGAATCCCCAAACAAAATAATTTCAAGCAGCATTCTTAGGAAGAATGGTACGTGATGAGGGTTATGTTATGATGTCATTCGCCTCCAGCAAGTGTCCCTTGGCTACGGGATTCAAATTAGACAAAGTTGGATTTACCAATCAGGAAATTCAGGGAGGGACTCTATTATTTCATATCATTATTTTACTTTCAGGTTTTCAGCAATTCCTAGAGTCACACCAGCACCAAATGACTGAGTGGGGAAACAGTATATCCATATGTGCTCAGAGCATGCCCACTTTTAGGTAGAACACTCCATGATCAGAATTCAGGCAAAGTCTGATTGTTCTTTTGAAAACAACTCAGATCAAACACCATTCCCCTATTTTTTATACATTTATGGTAACTCTTCTCTTTAAAAAGTCACTTTTCACACCTATTTCAAGGGAGACCCTTGTCTACTCAGCTAAAGAATTATTTCTAGTCTTTTCCTGCCTTGCCTTTTTTTCCTAAGTATTTGTGGTCCAAATGATGGCTGGGATTTTGATTCTCAGGCACTTCCAAGTTAGATCTCCAAGGTTCTGACTAGATTTGTTTGAAAAAAGATCCAAGTTACATAAACCTAGTTTTAAGCAAAAAAGCTTTATTTCCCCTAAAAGACTTCATATCTTCTCTGCTTAAGTTGGCCATGAAAGTTACTATAGTGAAAGCTCCCTTTCACATGTTCTTCGATGTGAAACAACTTTAGAAGGAAGGAGCACATCCGGAATTATTACTGTCAAATGCTGAAGGCCCTGGATTCCTCCTGAGATTGTGTTTTTAACTTTTCAGTGAAAACTGCCATCTATAAAGACCATCTCTCTCTTTTGGGGATAGCCAGTTTCTAACAACGCTTTATAAATCAAAATAATTTCCTTATATTAAAATAATTAGTGGCTGGTTCCGTGGCCGAGTGGTTAAGTTCGCACGCTCTGCTGCGGTGGCCCAGGGTTCGGATCCTGGTCACGGACGTGGCACCTCTCATCAGGCCACGTTGAGACGGCGTCCCACATCCCACAACTAGAAGGACATGCAACTAAGATATACAACTGTGTACGGGGGTGGGGGGCGGTTTGGGGAGATAAAGCAGGAAACAAAAAAAAAAGATTGGCAACAGTTGTTAGCCCAGGTGCCAATCTTAAAAAAAAAATTAATTTCTGATTTATGCCTTAGGGAGATTTGAAATGCACTCTAAGAGGAACACTTTTTGTGGGATTATTTTAAAAGACTCTCCCTTTTAGAACCTGGACTGAGGGGGACCTATTATCTGCAGCCATGTTTTGTGTATTTCCTCTGCCTCCATCCCACCACCTCTCCTTAAATCATCTGGCACCTGGAAGAAATACATATGATTTTTTAAATAGTATATATGTCTCTTGAAAACTCCATTCACTTATGGGAAAGGCTGTTCACATTTTTGCTTCTTCCAAGCAGCCTGAGATGAAAAAAATGTTCGATATTTGTGTATGTCAGACTGGATATGAGAGCTAACTGCAGGATTTGTGCAGTGGGCACTCTTTGACTTTGGGTCTTGGGTGGCAAGGCTGGATGGCGTCCTGGAACTTTTATTTATTTGTACAGCCCCTGTCATTTCAAGAGAACTTAGAGCATCGAGGAACCTGTTTAACACGAAGAAAAGGAGTCATCAATGGGAAATAAGAATGGCTGGATTTTAAAGTCACCCAGTGAGGATAGCAAGGGGAACACACAGGTGTATTCCTGGCTCTTCCTCACTCCCAACAGGGATGGGGGCCTCTGGGGTCGCAATAACCTCCTTGCTGCAGAAGTCCACATTATATATGACCACTTTGCTGGTGTTTGGCATCTATATATGTGAAGGGAGGGAAGAAAGGAATGAAAAATATTGGACAACACTGCAAAAATCATATGCTTTCCAAGGAAAATAGAACCTCCTTTCAAACTAGGAGCATATAGCTGCTGCCGCGATACCTTCTCCCACCCTCAACCCACCTCCTGTGAGAGGAAATTTGTGTCACTGTGAACCTTTATCTGAAGTCCTTGCTGCTGTCTCATAGCATGACTGCTTTCATAAAATTATCATACATTGGGGCTGGCCCCATGGCCGAGTGGTTAGGTTCGCGCACTCCACTTCAGCGGCCCAGGGTTTCGCCAGTTCAGGTCCTGGGTGTGCACACGTCACTGCTTATCAGGCCTCGCTGAGGCGGCGTCCCACACAGCACAATCAGAAGGACCTACAACTAGAATATACAACTATGTCCTGGGGGCCTTGGGGTAGAAGAAGAAAAAGAAAAAAAAAAAGATTGGGAAAGGTGCCAGTCTTAAAAAAAAAATTACCAAACATTACTAGAGATTGGTCAAAAGTAAAGGTTCTACTGAAAAGAAAGTTATGGTTTAAAAAATAGTGGACTTTCACGATCTCCTGGATGTTGAAGGTGACAAAATACACTGGAAGGTGTGATTGTCTGCTTCTGCGCTGGGGAAGCCACAATAATAGGCTCTCTTGGGCTGGTGGTGAGAAATGGAGACGAGGCCCTTTCTGATCTTAATGGAGCCCCCTCTTGTGTCTTCTTTGAACCAAAATGCTTCCCATTCCCCTATGACCTCCACAAAATGGAGGGCAGTGAACAGAATTTGGAGAGTACTGATGGATGTTTAGCTGCCACTTTCCCTTACAGCCCTGTGAGTACCTTCTTAGGACAGTCCATGGCTGTCAAGCTCCTTGGCATGAATGGAACATGGCCCCACCCGGAAACATACTATTTTCTACTAGAGATTCACCCCTTCCTATCTTGCACAACAGGGCCTGGTGGGGATGAGGACGGCAGCAGGGAGGTGTGGAAGGAGAATGTGTGGCCAGTGTAAACCTCTACGGGCACTTGGAGAACTCTGTGCTGTGTATGGCCCATTGACGGTGACCCAGGGCTATTACCTTATGAAAGGAGGCCCCTTAGACCTTCTGTTTGAATGGCATTCCCTAAGCAATTCCCATCCACATTCTACTTATCCCAACTGGCATCCAAAACCAATATATTGCTAATTTGCATCTTTATTGATAATACAATGTGCCTTACAAAAACAATAGGCACTGATTTTGTTCATTTATTCAGTTCATTTAACAGGTATTTGATGAATAACTCTTGATGTTGTGCCACGCACAATTCATATCTGGCAGAAAAATACTTTGGAAAAACTGTCACAAAGACCATACTTCAGAAAATGGGACCTGCGTAAGGACCGTTGATGACAGGGTCCCATGCCATACCTATAGGGGCCACAGGAAACGGAGGTGCAGGTGCTGGGGGTGGCACAGGCATCACGGGTGGCTCGGGTACCACAAGTGGTGGGGGTGGCCCTGGTGGCACTAGTGGCCATGGCACTAGAGGAACATATCTCCAAGCAGCCTCTAGAACAGGGACTACAGGATAGAGCCCATCAAAGGTGACCCCCACAGGGGGACCCATGGCGATGGGGACCAGATTTCTTAACTGCTGTGCCCTCTGGTGTCTTCTCCACTTGGCCCTTCTGTTCTGAAACCAAACCTTCAATCAGAGGGAAAAAGGGAATTGGTTTAGTATATAATAAACAGTTAATGTCATAGTAAAAAACGCATAACATGCAACTCTACCACTGAGATTTTAAACTGCAGCAGGAGAAGCTATTTCCTTATTCCTAAAACATCTTGGGAAAGTCAGCAGCACACCTCCTCCCTCAGCTAACTCTTAGTAAGCCAAGCCCAGTCCAGACATTGGCACATTCCTTTGTCTCTGTCCTCCCCATTTTTAGTCTTCCTTGATGTTTTTTTCCAGGTCTTGGATGCAGGTCTAACTGATGAATTGCACCAGGTCCCTGCTGTTAATGCTCATGCGTGATAACAGGGTAAAAAGACGCTGGATCATCAGCTGTCCAGCTGCCTCCATCCTCTTCTCACCAGGAATACTGTTACCCTGGTTGTGGGGGAGCTGAGCACGGTATAAAGGTGGGCCCGATTAAAGTCATACTGAGGAGAACCACCCCCTATTTGAAAAGCCCATCTTCAGTCTGAAGTAACCAATCCACAGGAACACGTTGCATTTTTAGACAAGATTTCCTCCGATGTTGCTTAAGTGATCACTCTTTGTCTGAAACCTCCTGAGAATTAAACAGGTGGTATATCAAGGGAGACTTGGTCATGGGGTCCCAGGGACTTTGTAGCTTGTCTTGCTGGGACTTGAGAGTTGCTGAAGCAGTGGACACTGCCTTGATATTTTAGCCTTTAGTATTAAGGAAAGTTTAGCCTAACTGAATCCAAATTCACTAAACTCAAAATCCTTTGCCCAGATAAGAGACTGGACATCCCATTGTCATCACTGGCAATTTTGCATGCTCCAGTCTGCCCTACCCTCTAAAGCTTCCTGGGCTCAGGACAAGGGCAGCTCATTTGGCTCTAGCTAGTTTCAGGATCCTGGACAGGAGCCACTGTCACCCAGCGTCTGGGGTGCCCTAGGTCCTGCCAGCTCCACTCCTTCACCAGGAGACCCCAATCCCATCACTCATTCCTAAGGCAGGAAGGTTCAATCACGCATTTTAGGAAGATGTTCAACAACAACGTGGGATAAGGGGGCACAAAAAAAGCTCCTCCCTAAGTGTTTGCCAACTATTAACAAACAGATAAAAAAGCGGGCAGACTTTGCTGTCCTCTTAGTATACTAGTTAATGGGGTTTGTATTATATTTAATCCTTTTGGAAGTTCCCAAACTGCAAATTTTAAGTGAGACAAAGGGCCTTTTCTCTCTCCAGTCTTATGACTTGGGGTCCTTCTGCTGCATAAATATACAGTCTGAAGAAAATCTCCCTAAACATAACCAAAGCCAATATCTGGCAAATTTTGGTATGGGCTGATAATAGGTCCATATTCCTAGTACGTACTGGTTTCATAAAACAGGTCTACTATATTTCCAAACTGGAGAGGGGGAGCGCCTACTAAGTTTCTTGGGGAAATTCATGCTACAGAGTTTAGAAATATATGAGAACATTGCCTTTTCCCCTATTTGTGTTTTCTGGTTCATTTCCCCTTCAGAAATACATTGAGAAGACTATGTAAACCCAGGGAGGAGGAAAAGCAACTCAGCAAACCTTGTTTTTCTTTTCCTCTGAGCTTACCTTGCATGCCTGAGGAGGTGGAGGACCCGTTCTCCCCTCTACCTGAGACCAGGCCTGACTGTTGGTCCAGCCTATGGCATTAGGAGGCCAGCATTCAGTGGTCTGCTTTGCTGGGCTGCTTTTCTGCACATCACCCACAGATGTGCAGCACGTTTCCGTCACCGCACTCACGCATGCACTCTGCAGCAAAACTACTAAGCCATCTGAGACATATATATACAAATGTATTTTTTTGAGGGGGGTGAATACTTCTTTGAATTAACTATGGTTTTCTACAATCTGAAATAGTCACTTTCTGACTCCATGCCCTACAAACCAGTAATCACTGGCTGAGTAAATGAAAAAGTATTTTAAATTAACACAGGTCAGAACTTGGCCTGAAGTGAGACCATCCTCACAGCCAATCAAATTCCAGAAAACTGACTCTTTCAGAATAATACCACCGAAAAGGAACTAAAAATTCTTAGATGTTAAAAATTCCGCAAGGGACTATCCACTGATGCACTTGGTAGTTCCAAAAAGTTGAATTTGTGCGGCATCTGCAACGCATATATTTGACTGTATACAATTCTTCTCTAACATTACACCCCTTCTTAGGTCAGTGGCACTTTATTCAAAATTGTTCCTTCTCTTTTGTGGTTTCATTTTTCAGGACAATTTTCCAAAGCTTGCAAACTTTTCCCCATTACCATCATAAGTGCAATATTTTGGCTATGTTTTCAGGCTGACATCAAAGTCTTCCAAAGAATTAAAATTTCAGGTTGTACTCTCTACACTGCTTTACAAAACACTTAAATACAACGACACTTGGACTTTTAAGCTCCCCCCGTCAGTCTCAGTGTAACTAAACATACATTACTTACTCATGTACTGTGTTCTGTGTGTGAATTACTTCCTCCTCCCAATGCCTGAATATTTATAAATTCACTCATTTAGCCAAGAGTTTATGCCTGGCTTTAAATATTTTGAATAATTTAGTACAGTTGCACTGTTTTATAACCTAGCTCTTCAGTGAATTAATTTGAACACTCCCCAGGTGAGACTGAGCTCCAACATGATTCCACATAGAAACATTCCTTTAGGGAGGAGACTAACATCCTTCCTAAAGGATGCCAGTGTTAGAAGGAGGTGAACTTTATTTATTGGAAAAAAATGTCTCAGAGTGAGTGTGTGTGTGTGTGTGTGCGCGGTGAGGGGAGAAGTGTGTGTTCTCTGTTTTTTCCCTTTTAGGAAATCACATTTCCTCTGGTCATGGGCAACTTCCATAAGCTTGAACTTACTTATTCCATTTTCCACCCCTGAAGAGCCCATTGTTCAAAACTTATTTGCTAAACATGGAAAAGACAACAAAACACACCAACCTGAGAATGTCCAGGACAAAACCTAATGCCTGTTTAGCACGGCTGCCCTGCCAATTAGCCTTTTAAGATTTACTGACCTGCACTCGGCCTTCATTCAGATTCAGCCGTCCTGCAATCTCCTCTCTGAGGGGGGAAAATTGTAAATATTTAGTATTTGGAGTTGTGGATAAAATGAAATATATTATGCACATTATTTCTATCCTCCCTTCTAGGGCAGTTTTCTGCGGTACAACGTGGGGCTTGCTTTAGGGAGAGTTTGCCCATCAACAACTCTGTTAAATAAGATAGAAAAAGGCAATATATGTGAAAGTTCCTGGTAGGGGGTCTGTTTGTTGGATATGACTCAATCAATTTTTCTGTTTGTGGAACAGCAGAGAACAATCCTGGAAATCTTTTCTTGAGAGGTTCCTCGGTGAAAATAGATAAAAGGCCAAAACACCTTTAAAACGGTGTTTTGAAGCATATTTCTCTTTACTGTAAAAGGGGGAAGTGAACTCTCAAGGAGAAACTGCAAACCGCGTCGGCGAAGCGCTCAAGGGAAATTCGTTTTTGCCCTTTGGCGGGCGAAGGCTCAATCCAGCGGGACCAGAAAGGGCGTCCCCAACACTCGCACCGACTTGTTTTGGTCCCCCCTTTCCTGCCGGGCCAGAATAGGCCTGTTCCTTCGTCTACACTACGGGGATCTGGACCACAAAGGCTCCAAGTAAGGCAAGCGAGGGGAAGGGGTCGCTGGCTTTTAAACGCTCAAAAAACTGCCGCCTGAAAACAGTGCTCCAGGTTGCATGGCCGAGACTAGGGGGAGGCAGACGAGGCTCTCGCCTCGTGCGCAAAATTTAAAGTACGCGAAAGAGCTGAGTAATCATGATAAAAATTTTAATACACTATTCAAAATATAAAAATTAATGCAAAAAACCCATGATGAACAAATTATCAAAATTTTAAATTAATTTACGTTTTTATTAATTTAACTTAAATTAAATTAGTTAATTTAATTTTGGGATCAATCAGACCCTGCCTTATTTGCTTCACCCTAGTCCCACTCCTGTCTCACAGTCCCGCAGGCTCTGTAGGCATTGCCCCAACCCCAGAGAGCAAGAGCGGACCCCGGCGGCCTTGAGCCCCGCCGAAGTGGCATTTGGCTCAGGAGAGCAGGTAAAGGGTCCCGGGAAAGAGCCTAAGGCGCCCCGGGAGGAGCCCGAGCCCCTTGGAGAAAATTGGCCGCCTGCAGAGCGAGCCACTTACCGAGCGAGCACGTCGGGGTACGGAGTGCGATGGAAGATGAGCTCGAGCTCGTACAGCTGCAGCTGGGTGAAGACGGTGCGGTAGCGGCGCCGGTTCCTCTCCACGATCTGTGGCCCCTCCGCCGGCGGGGGAGGCTCCTCCCGCTGCAGCGGCGGCTCCACGCGGCCGCCACGCCCTCCCTCAGGAGTTTCGCGGTCCAAGAGGCTGCGCCCTCTCGCACCAAGATCGCCTGCTGCGTCTGCCCCGTTCCCAGTTTCGGACAGCGTCTCCTCCTCGTCTCCTCGTGTTTTAATCACCCCGGTCAAGGTAGGCTTCACATCTGGGAAAGGAGGAAAGCAAAAGAGAGAGACCGGGGCGCTAGAGCCCACGGGGCTCGGGCTGGAGGGAGCGAAGGGCTGCGATAGAAGAGCAGCGGCGACGACAGCGCGGCGTCCCTTCCACCCACCCCTCCCAGGAAAACGTCCTCTCCAGGATTTGCCGAAGCGCTTGTCCCCGTCTAGGTACTGACCGCGCAGTTCTTCCTCCCTCTCGTGGGCTCCCAGGCTGCGGTAGCCGGCGTCATAGTGGCTGCACCCAGGACGAGGCTCCATGCTGTCGATGAATCCTCGCGCTTCCACAGTCTCTGTGCTGCGCTCGGTGGCGATCCCCGGCTGGGGTTGGAGCTGGAGCTGGCCCGGCGGGGGTGCTCTTCTGCCGCTGGCACCTCTTCCGGCGCGGAGTCTGAGCCTCGTGCACCTTATATAGGGGGTATGTTGCCCCCAGCAGGGTCAAAGCGTAGGCGCTCGCGTCGGTTAGACGCCCTCTGTTAGCGTTCACATTACCTCCGGTTGGTGTCGGTGGGACCTGATGGGGGCGCTGTCGTGACCAGGGCGTATGAGTAAAACAGGGCGAGTGTGTGCGACAGTGGTGCTTGTAGTGGGCATGCTTGTGTGGGGAACAGTGACTCCCACTTGTTGCTTAACTGACCATTTCCAACTCGGACTAAGTGTTTGATTGGAGGAAGGGGTTGTGCTGGATTGTGAAAACCGTTTTGGGGGCGGGGGACAAGACCTCACGCTAGCTCCTGGAGCTCGCGGGGAAGTTTTTGGAGAACGTTCCTCCGCCCCACGCTCGATGTTCCGCAGCCCGCGAGTGGTGTGGTGCCCCTTGCTTCCCCAGAGGAAAAGACGGAGAGATAGGGCAGCGGGAAGCGCGGAGCCCTCAGCAGCCCAAGCACGCTAAAGCGAAGTGGTTAGTCTATCCTGGATTCGGCTCTGAGCGCGACTACCCTCTCCTAGAAGTTGGCGACTAATGGATAGGACTGTCTGGCTCTGTTTCATTCGCGCCCAAAGTCCGCATATCGGGCTAGCGATTAAGACGAAATGATTAGTTTGGAGGCTGCGTGCACTGGGTTTTTGAAATCAGATCCCGCCGTGCATTCCTGGAGCGAGAGTTTGTGGTTGGGTTTGCAGAGCAGTCCGTGTGCTCAGATGCACGCTGCAAGAAACCCCACGTGCCTTTTGAGAAAACTCCAAGAACTTCAGATTTTTAGTAATGAGCCCACGTTAGAGTGCAAGTGTAGAGACTTGCCAAGTGCGTAGTGCATGCAAGAATGCCTGTGCTGCAAGGAGCCCTTCCTTCGGTTCCTGCCGCATGCAACATTTGCTCTGCTGGGTTGCTGCGCTTCTTTCTGCACCCTGCTCCGCAGGCGCCTAAAGCGCGCCTAATTCCCGGGCCAGTACTGCAGCAGGAGCCGAAAGCGCGCCTTATTCCCGGGCCAGTACTGCAGCAGGAGCCGAAAGCGCGCCTTATTCCCGGGCCAGTACTGTAGACCTGGGAAGAGTTCCCGCCTTCCCTGCTCCCACTGCCCCTCCTCCCCTTCCCCTTATCTAGAATTATCTTCGTGAGCCGTTTTCCCTCACTACTGTGTCGAATGAAAAAGGACCAGGCTACAGTGGAAGGCTCTATGGTTCTTCGTTCAAGAAGCGTTTGCAGGTGCTCCAGGATTTGTTAATGCCCTTCATATTCTAAGAATAACTTCTAATAATGGGCCCTCTGCTTGGCACCGTACATAATTTATCCTACTCTTACCTTTGCAACCACCATTATTATCATACCCATTTTCTACACAGAAAACTGAGCCCCAGGGAAGCCAGGCAACTTGCCCTCGGTCGTACAAGCTAGTTTGACTACAAAGTCTGTGCACTTTTCACCGTATTGCTGCTGTCTTATTTTAAAGGAGTAAATAACGGTGCGCTTTTGTCTGGATTCCTGGCGAACAATTTTGGCCTGGGATGAGTTACTGCACAAGAGATCCATACATGTTTAATCATGGAGTGCAGTAGCCTACTTAGTACATTGGTAACAGCTTAGGTGTGTTCTGTCACATTTTAGGATTCCATGGTTTACTCCAATGTTTTCTTTTTCTTTTTTTAAGACTGGCACCTGAGCTAACATCTGTAGCCAATCTTCTTTTTTTTCCTCTTCTCCCCAAAGCCCCCCAGTACATAGTCATATATTCTAGTTGTGGGTCCTTCTGGTTGTCCTATGTGGGACGCTGCCTTGGCATGGCTTGATGAGTGGTGCCATGTCTGCGCCCAGGATCCCAACTGGTGAAACTCCGGCCCCCAGGAGAACTTAACCACTTGGCCTCTGGGCGGCCCCTACTCCAATGTTTTCTGAACCTCAGCCATTCCTGTGCCCCCTGCAAGTTTTGCCATAAACGGGTACCAGCCATAGTAGTATTTACTTAACATGTTTACTTAAATTAATTCGCTTTTCGAAAACCTTAAATATGGAATTGAACCTCATCCTAGGCAAAATGAGCTATGAATTCAAGGGTTTCATATACCAGTTTTATGTGAAGTAGAGAGTGGCAATAATTGAGAGCAGGGACCCTTAAGCCAGACTGCTGGTGTCTGAATCCCGGTTTTGCTTGCCACTTGCTAGCTGGCTAACCTGGTGAGTTGCTTATTCTCCTTGTGCCTTAGTTTTCTCATTTGTAAAATGGGAATGACTAAAAGTACCTACTTCATGGGGTTGAGGATTAATTGAAATGCTCACAATAATTAACACTTAGCTGACGCTTTTATGTGCTAAGCACTGTTCAAGGTGCTTTCAGATGATGTTACTGAGTCACAGAGAGGTTAAGTAACTTGCCTAAAGGCACTCAGCTGGGAAGTGTTGGACCTTGGATTTAAACCTTCTTAGAATGATGCTTTGTAGAGAGAACATGTTCAATAGTGATAGCCATTATGATTTTTATTTTTTAAGATTTTTTAAAAAAATGTTTCCTTTTTCTCCCAAAGCCCGTCTGGTACACAGTTGTGTATTTTTGGATGTGGGTCCTTCTAGTTGTGGCATGTAGGATGCTGCCTCAGCATGGCTTGACGAGCGCTGCCATGTCCGCACCCAGGACTCGAGCCAGTGAAACCCTGGGCCGCCAAAGCAGAGCACACGAACTTAACCACTCGGCCACGGGGCTGGCCCCTATTGTGATTTTTTTTTAAAAAGTTAAATATACTAGTCATTTCTGTTATATTCACAATGTTATACAAACATCACATTGTCTAATTCTAGAACATTTTTCATCAATAAAGAAAGTCTGCACCCGTTAGTAGTCATTTCCCAGTCCCCACTCCTTGCAGTCCTGGTAAACAGTAATGTACTTTCTATCTCTATGGATTTTCCTGTTCTGGATATTTCATACAAATGGAATCATACAATACATGACCATTTGTGTCTGACTTTTTTCACTTAGCCTTGTGTTTTTGAGGTTCATGCATGTCGTAGCATGTGTCAGTATCTCATTCTTCTTTATGGCTGAGTAATATTCCATTGTGGAGATAGATCACATTTTGTTTACCCATTCATCAGTTGATGGGCATTTGAGTTGTTTCCAGCTTTTAGTGATTGTAAATAGTGCTGCTTTGATTGCTGTGAACATTCGTGTGCAAGTTTTGTTTGTGGCTCTGTTTTCAATTCTTTCGGGTATTTACTTAGGAGTAGAGTTACTGGATCATATGATGATTCTGTACTTCTCTTTTTGAGGAACTGCCAAACCCTTTACCACAGCAGCCACACCATTTTACATTCCCAACAGCCACATATGAGGGTTTCAGTTTACGTCCTTGCCAACACTTCTCTTTTTCTGTTTTGTTTTTATTATACCCCTCCTAATAGGTGTAAAGTAGTACCATTGTGGTTTTGATTTACATTTTTCTAATGACTGATGGTGCTGAGCATCTTTTAATTTGCTTGTGGCCATTTGTATATCTTCTTTGGAGAACTGTCTCTTTAAGTCTTTTGCCTATTTATTAATTGAATATTTGTCTTTTTGTTGTAGAGTTGTGAGACTTCGTTATATATTCTGGATACTAGATTCTTTATGATTTGCAAATATTTTCTTCCATTCTGTAAGTTTTCTTCTCACTTTCCGGATAGTGTCCCTTGATGTTTGCAATCACCAGCCTGCCCTCACGTAGCTTTGGGGTTCAAATGAACACTACCAGCTCAGTCTAATTTGTTCCTGGTGGCAAATCCGGATATGTGGCAAAAGCGAATCTAATCTTTTCTGGACGAGTCTACCTTTAACTGGGGCTTTAACAAGATTCTCACAGATAAATACCAGTCAAACATGCATAAATAATAAACCAAAGATAGAGATCGCCAAAGACTTATTGTCAGATGTGAACTACTATTTAAATACGTGTTTAACATGTTTAAATAAGTGACATGATATAAAAAACACAAGGAAGGAATAACCAAATATTTTAACAAAGCAAATAGAGTTTCCAGCAATGGAACTGAAAGATTAATGTAATTTTTTTCTTTTTTTATTGTGGTAAAACACACATAATGTAAAATTTACCATCTTAACCATTTTAAAATGTCCAATTCAGTGGCATTTAGTACATTCAGAATCCTGTGCAATCATCACCACTGTCTAGTTCCAGAACATTTTTATCACTCCAAAATGTAACTTGTACCCATTAAGCACTCACGCCCCATTCCCACCTTCCCCAGCTCTTCGTAACCACGAATCTACTTTCTGTCTCTATAAATTTGCCTATTCTGGGCATGTCCTATAAATGGAATCATACAATATGTGGCCTTTTGTCGCTGGCTTCTTTCACTTAGCTTAACGTTGTCTAAGTTCATCCACGTCGTAGCATGAATGAGTACTTCATTCCTCTTACTTGGAGGCATTAGATACTAGCCTCCAGGAGCAAAGTGCCAGGATAATCTGGAGCTGATGTCCCATACAGAGGCTCGAGCTGCCCTTGCTGTGGCTTTGGCACTACCACACCAAGATGGCACGCTTACCTGCTTTCCCGTTGCTGAAGGCCGGCTGGCTGATGCAGGCTCAGACTCCCATGAGGAGTCCCTCTGCCAGGCAGTAATCCCCATTGGACCTTTATTCTGGTCTGTAAACTGAGGCAATTTCTAGATGGATTTTAAGGATCTTTTCAGTCGAGAGAACTGTAATATTATGGACGTTTCATGCCCATAGATTACTGCTGCAAGTGAGGGTCACCTGTTCCAGATGTGGCCAGCAGTGAGGGTGGAGTGGAGGAGCTTTCTGTTCGTTGAGGGCTGCAGGAGCCTCGTATGAATGGGCATTCATAGCACTGTGTGCTTTCTAATTATTCCTTCTCCCTACAACGAGACTCTAGCTAGGGATTGACAGCTTTTTCAGTCCTTGGCCTAAAGGCCCTACAGACCACCCTTGATAATCCACCACGGAAAGACTGATAGGAAGAGTGAGGTGGCTTTTGATGAAACGCCAGTGAGGTGATGTCTGTTTTTCTTTTTTTAATATTATAAATAAATTATTCATTCATGTCAGAAGCCAAAACTTTGGCTTTTTTAAAAAATAGGCATTACTTCTTAGACATGGAAGGGGCACATGGACAGAGGCTTCTCATACCTACATTTGAGAGAATCAC